GTGGCAGTATAAAAAAATTCAGACCTGTTATTGTTAGATAACTGGAAGATAAATTTCAAAGTTAATATTTATAGTGTCTGAAAACATGCTTTGTGGATTATTGGCTATGTAGGATGCTGTATCCTGTATTTATATTGATTTGCAAGAGCACTGGCACTGCAAGCAGATCTAGCAGTCATGTATTCCAGAGTTTCCTAAAATAACCCTGTGTCCTAATTTTTCAAGAGGTGGGAGGGAAGAAATTTATATTAGAGGGTCTCAATTAGAATATGTAAAATTATGTTTAAATGGAAATACCTTTCACAATTTCCCAATAATTTTACTATTTTGTTGAGCTGTAGTTGGTTATTTTAATTAATATTATTTTCAAAATAAAAATCCTGTTGACTTTATTTTTTTATATATGACTATATCTATATATCTCTATATATAAGTATATATGAATATTGATATATGAAACATTCATAATGTTTACTTCTAAAATAAAGTATTATGTGAATGTGGTGATGATAAACACAAAGAAAAATTTTCAACTTCTGTGTATCCCTCAGAATGAGGAGTTAGTATTTGTCACTTATGAACTACTGAGAAAGAAAGAGTTTTAGATTTACATGTGAGTCATTTTGTGTTTGGAATATGCTTTTCTTTTTAGGATGTCTCAAATGGGAAGATGGTTAATATCGAATTTTGCCCACTTCCCTTCATATTTTGCTTTCTTTTTTTTTAGGTTGAGTCATGCTACAGGTACTTTGAGCTAAAGAACATAAAATTAGGATTAAGGCAATGCTTTCATCCACCAATGGTGGGTGTGAATATGTTGGGAAAAGAAGAAATGAGACCAGTAGATGCTCTGCCACCTCCTCATCTCTTTTGGTCATTGTGCTGTATCTTCTGTGACATTTAGGGCTCAGCTCCATCCCTTGGCTAGAGAATGCATTAAATCCTGAACTAAAAAACTAGAGTTATAACTTCAATAATGGTACCTGCACATCAACTAATATTTTCTTGTGATGTTTACCTCTTATTGTATTTGGTTGGTAAAGTTCTTTAAAGCTTCCTCTGATGTAAAGGGGAGTAAGTTTGGAACCGGCCTCAGCGTTTCTGTTCACCTTCAGAACCATGACGTGTTGGCAGATTTACTGTCAACTTATAAAAACTAATGAACCACTTTAAGCCCTGTCATAAAACTGGAATTCTTTTGTACTTAATTAGATGGCCTGGAAGAGAGGAAATTGGACCCAAACCCTATAAAATTAGCTTCATCAAAAGAAAGTGGAAACAGATGAGCAACCCACAGTAACTCTACAAGAATAATGCCACAATCCTTACAACCCTGTCTTGGCTTATTTGGATTGCTTACTCAAGGCCCTGTTTAAGTCTTTCCCAACATAGTTAATTTGTATATCATGGGTGGAACTGGAGGTGATGCTTGTGGTCAGGATTGTGTTATGCTCATAGCCTTGTCAGACAGTAATTTTTTGGACAGATACTTTTCCCCCCTTTCCCAAAGTGTTTTCTTCAAAAATGACTCTATTTTTGAGAACAAGGTTGGTCAAACCCAACCTTTTGTACCTGTTGTACATTTTGAAATATCATTGGTAACAAGTTACAGAGAAATTTGGGATGTTAATAATTTGGAGCAGAGTTTGAAATTGGGCAGGGCATCAGGAATGTGACATTTGCTGAAAATAAGTCGATTTTAACCAACTTACAAGGCTTCAAAAATTGCAGTTTGAACATATGCAGTAAAGGTGTGTTAGATGGGCAGCTTAAATCTTTTAAGTCTTTTCATCTGTACTGGGCATGTTCGAGGCTGTAGTTGCAGAACCTGAGCAGGAGTTTCCCTCAATCAGTCCCAGATGGTGGGAACTGAGGATGAGAAGTTTCCTGTCCACGTTCCTGGTGCAAGTGCCTTGGCATCACAGGGATGCCAGGGATGACTGACTTGAAGTGGATGATTTTGGACTATCAAGTTTGGCAAGTTCTAGCTTAATGTACATGCCTGTCAAAGCTTACAAAATTAAGCCAACCAAAAAAAAAAAATTGAAAATCCATTCTATAGGATGTTTTTGATAGCTCACAAAGTGCTATTAACAAAGAAATTACAACTTTCTGTTATTAGAACTCTCTAATTGTGGTCATTGTGGTTTAGTGACCTGATTTGCAAAGTGCTGAACGTTCCTAGTGGCAACAGAGGCAACAGAAATGTGCCAGTATAGTGTTTTATGTGATAAGAGTTGCTCTCAAAAATCCATTGGGAGGCCTTTAAATTGGATCCACAAATTAAAAGGCATTTTTGATCACAACTTCTGCAGATGTCAGCTCCCCATTTTCAGAATGGCTCTGCTGTCCTCTTACTTCCTGGTAGCTGTGAAACTACATTAGGGCTTGAGAAAAGTCTCTTATAAAATCCCATGAGCAAGTGAATAATTTTATCATCAAAGTTTGAACAGTGTTTAGCAAGTAGATTACGGAGCTGGTTACTACTAAAAAAAAAATACTGAAAATACTTAATGGCTTCTAGCTTAATGAGAACAATCCATCTGTAAATGGAATTAGCCAATGATTCAATGGGAAAACGTGCCCATAACGCTGTTACAGCACATAAACACAGGTTTTATGCTGGGGCTTGATGGCTTTAGCATGATTGACGTTTGCCACTTCGGTATTCTTCCAGCATTCTTTTTTGGGTGATGATTTAATAACTATCAGAGCAGGACTTTGATTCTGTACAAGGGCTTGCTCTTGCATATTTATGAAGATATGCTTGCATATTTGTAAATTTGATTATTCACTTGGGGAGACTCGTGTGTATAAATGGCTTGAACGGCATCGTCCACAAGCAATTTGTTAAAAAATAATCTACTCTAATTTCATCTCTTAGGAATATTTTTAGGGTCAAATATTATTTGTAGTCAAGAAATTAATGATTAAGCCTCTTAACATTCTGAACTTGTGTTTCCACTCTGGCTTTTTAGACAGTGCTAATGACGCTTGATATCAGTTCTTGGTCTTGCTCTCACCAGAGCATTAAACATATTCCAAAGAATGAAAATGCCTTTTGGAAGCCTTCTTAATTCCTGCCTTAGTGAATGCAATGGACAGATGATGACGAATTGTAAATATGTTTTGAGCTCTCTGGGTGGCCCAAAGCAGATCTATCCTGCTGAAAATGTCCTCTGCATATTGATTCCTCCCCGAGTGAAGAACTAATTTAAACACCTTCTTATTGCCCTCTTAGCACTTTTATGGAGGCCATACATATGCACTATTTTCAGAGGAGGTGATGTGGCAAAATTATTGCAGCAATCTTGGAACCCCCATCTGCTAGAATGTCCCTGGCCTCCCCTCCATAAAAATATCACTGCTGTTCGAGTCAGCACCTCTGTGTGTTTATTATCTTACCAGAACCTTGGAAATTGCTTTTGTTTCTAGTAGGAAAATCAGAATAGGGAAGGTAATAGGACAAGCCATAAATGGAAAAGCAATTTTGAGATAAATTTTAGATTAGAATCAATGAGACTGAAATTGTATTTTTCAAGAGTTTTGATTTCTTCCCTCAGAGCAAGTCATTTTTCATTTTCTCCTATTTTCTTCTCTACTTTGTTTTTCTTGGGAAGACAATAAACTGAGTATCTTGAGGGTTCCCTTTCTTTACTTTTCTTATCCGTTTTAATTTTTCTGAATATTAACAGTTCAGGGATGTTAGTGATTAAATGTGAAAGACTGATGCTTTTAGACTCCTCTTTGGCTTAGAAAGTTTTGAAAAACTAGAGTGAAAAATGGAAAAGGAAACTAATTACAGTGAAAAACAGCGAATGATCTTAAACAAATATCATATTTTTTGGTTAAAGAATAAGAAAGAAGAGCCAAATAATTTGAAATGCTCCTTTTAAATAATATTTCTGGATCTTGAACAAGCGGAAGTATTTGCACTGAAACAAAGCATATAGTGAACAAAGAATAAAAAATAATGACATGTACTTGAAAACTTTTCCCTGTTTATTTTTAATGAGATCCATTTGAATTTTTTTTTCAGGGGTAAAAAAAATATTAAACCATATAGGATAAAAATTGTGCATCCTTTCCAGTGTTTCTAGAGCCAAAATGTGCTCTGCATGAGTATCGTTCTATTAACATTTCTGTAAACCCAGTTATTTTGGGGTAGGTGCTAAGTGATGCAAATAAAAATGGCCAGTGTATTTATAATCTCCTAATTTTCCCTTTGCGGGCGTATCTCCAGGGAAGTGTGGTCATGACGACATTCATCCTTCTCAGGCTGCTAGAATTAAACCTGTCCATAAAATAGATGGGAAGGCACACTGAACCATTTCAAAGGATGGCAAAGTTCCCATGATAAATTAATGCCCAAATCAAACTGCCTGCCTTTAAGGACTCCACACTCTATGGCTCCTGCTCACTAACCATTAAATATATATGATGCCTTTAAATGCCCCAATAGAGCTAAAAACACATTCAGCTGAAATTTATTCTCTTTAATATTTATCTACATCTGGGTATTTGTACTGTCATATCCTTCTTAGGTATGAAAGTTTTATACTGTAGTTGTGAGGGAATGCCCGCTATCATCACACTTATACCCGTCCCTCCAAGCTACAATACATTATTTCTTACCAGCTCTGTCTCACGGAGCAGTTTCTCATAATTGCAACCTAAATGTTTAATGTGACAGAAGTAAGGATGAATGGGAAAAGATCTGAGTGTGGAGTGTAAATTAGCTTGAAAAAGGTGACAGTGGCTCTTGCCACGGTCCCTCCATGTGGTCTCTTGATCCTACAGAAAAAATTCTGGAAACAAAATGAATTAGGTCTTGTCCTTGGTTTCCATCTCTTCTGTTGGATACTGGGGGATGTTTTCTGTTTGTTGTTAAGATTATGAATGTGGCATTCAGAGAAAAAGGACAACTTGTTAATGGCTCAACCCTACTAAGCTGTTCATTTAAAGAGATAAAGTTTTTCTTTATTTTATATTTTTCACAGAATATTCTGAGTTGGAAGGGACCCACAAGGATCATGGAGTCCAGCTCTTAAGTGAATGGCCCATACAGGGATTGAACCTTAAGAAAATAAAGAAAACTTAAGATTTAAGAAAACCTTTTCTTACAGGTCAATAATTACTTCCAAGTTATTAGTTTATGTTTTCATAAACCTTTTTCCTTTCTAAGTTCAGTAATTTTCTGCATAATAAGGTCTGATTATAAGCAAATTGAAACAGTTGCTTTTGGGGTTTTTTGTGTGTGTGTAATGCCACTTACTTGCCTAACCCTGTCATTCATTATGAATAATGCATTCCTAATAAAAATGGCTTTATTACAGTGAGGGTGCAGCAGTTTTTTAATAACCAACTGTTTCATTTTTTTATTTAAAAATGCAGGTTTTAGAGACTCCATTTAAGAAGATGGATACAATGCAGTTCAATTATGGATTTTGCCTTTATTGGTGAGTGAAAACCCCATTCCTTACGTGTGCTCATAAATTCTCATATTGGTAACTAAGATACAGTACTCTAGTATGTATGTTTCTGTGAAATAACTAATTTATTGAGATTTCATAGGTGTCCATGTAAACATGCAAATGAGAACAATTTGGAAGACTTTTTTGTTTCTCTAGTTCCTCAGATGCTATTTTGTATTTCTTTTGCCTTTATTCTATCAGTATATTGTGGCTGTGTCATTCCTCAGATTTTGGGGGAAAACATTCTGTTATCACTGTGGCTCAGGAATACCATATGACCATAATTTTCTGGCTCTTTGCCATAGACCAAAACACATATTTGTTCAATATACTAGAATAACTGAAGTGCTGGTTTGGAGATAAATGGAAATACTTCCTAAAAAATTGTGAGGTTTTGTTCTGGTTTGTTTTTTTTTTTTTTATTACTTTTATTTTAGATTTCCTCAACTTAATTATTATGGGAAATATAGACTAGTTTAATAGATGCATCTGAAACATCAAGAAGATCACTTTGAATTTAATAAAACTCCTCATAAAAATTAATTTTTCTTCTCTTGTAATATTAATCTTGGAGAGCATGTAATGTTGAAGCTGGGGCCTGCAATGATGACTCCCTGCTCATACAGGTGTACACAGGGAACTCCCATTGGCAGCAATTAAATACATTCATAGAAATTACTACTTAAATAGTTTACTTTTTTTCCTACCTGTGTTTGATAGCCAAGATATTAGGGTTTCTGAGCATGTAGCACCCTGTACAGAAATTAAATAATTCAAATCAGGGAATGTTTCCTGGTATGATGCACTTTACTAGTTTTCCCTGTGTGATCCTATACAGCAATTTGCTTTATACCTTTAAATTATTTTGGATCCAAACAGAAGTTGAAGGTGCTCAATAATCTCTCAATTTTTGAGTGTGTGACTTTGTTATTATTAACCCAGGGCACTGAAGGTGGGTCTATATCTAACTTTTAATCAAAAACAAATCTGCTTCACCTTCACTGTGATAAGCCTATGTTTTGACTTTGTGTGAGCTCTGCAGTGATTTGTGAGTGATACACAAAATGAAAAACCCTTTTCCCAGAGAAAGGGCAGGAAGACTTCAGAGATTTGCTCAGTTTGTTAGATTTACTTGAATTTCAAACAGCCAGGAAGAATAACAACTGAGAAATCCTAACTATTAAAAAGAGACTTCAGAAAATATCAAAATTAACACGTATTTAAAGGCTCTGACTTAGCAGCTGGGGATATGCCTACTCATAATACAGATGTATAAATCTCCCTTCCTGCCCTACAACATTAATAAAAAATTGCATCCTAGTTCTAGGGCATCACCTGTATTCATCTGAGTTTCTCAGGTTATACAGTCATGCAAAATTAAATTTATGTACAAACATGTTCAAACCAAGGAGATACATCATTTATCTCTTCCAGACACAATGTGAGATTCACTGTAGTAATAAATTGGCTTGATGAGCATGTGTGAGCCATTCTTTTTTTGGTTATACAAGCCCGTCAGAAGTACAATGACAAACACCTCAAAAAGAGGTTTGTTCCAGCGAGTTTATTGCCCAAAGTATTTAGTCAGCCTCCATTTTTTCTCCCATGCCACTATTTTAACTACTCAAGCAGCCAATAAAGCCTGTGGGAGATCCCTTCTTATACTGGGAGGAATCATATTGAAGCAATGACTGATTTCATCACTGAACTGTTCCATATAAACAAGTTTTAGCCAGTTTGTGCCTCATCTGCGGTGCAGGTAGGTTGATATGAGGGTGGTATACCTGTGTGGGAAGTTCCTTCCTTACAGTGGAGACATCAGTGAAAGATCACCATGAGTTATGTTTGGAGATGACTCAAGAACATTTTCTCTTTGCTTGAGAAAACTGGGATCTTTTGCTCCAGAGCCAGTCTGTTTCTGGGACCTCTTTCAGGTGTGTTCCTGCTTCCATGCGTTTTCTCGTGATCCCACTGAGTGCTATAGAAGGTAAGAAAGGAAGCCTTCAGGTTAATCTTATTTGCCCAGACATGAGTAAAATAGTTCTAGCATGATTAATCATCACAGTTAAGTCTTAATTAGGACACCCAATCTCCTGTTCCTCTTGAGATTTTAGTAGCCTTTCCCCACCCTATTTCTGTGATTTCTTTCATCATGTGTTGTTGTCACACCCATTGCTTTCGAAGAATTTTTGTCTGTGCATGGAAAAGGAATACCCAAGAACTGCAGGTGATGAAGTACTTTGGATTTTTAATTCATTCATGGATAGATCCATTTTAAAACTTCTCTTAAACCTGAGGAATGCAGGTGCTGTTTGCAGCCCTATTGGTGTTTGTCTTTCACTTTTAGAAGATGTTTCAGTGTTGTGCTGCTGCAGTGAATGTTTTGGAAGCCTTTCGTTCTTGTTCCACCCCCTTGGTGGGATCTTATTTAAATGGTGGCCACCTCCCTGTGTCATCTTTCTGTGGCCTCATGTTTTCTATTTCTACTTTTTTTGGTAACCCATTCTTTACTCCAAAGGGTTATATATTCATTGCTGAGGGCCTAAAAACTTTAAACTAGGTTGTGCTGAGAAAAGGCTCTACTTTAGACATGTTTACCCAGTTTACTTTTCATATGTCTGAATGCTCCCAGCCTTCCTCCCCTAACCATTCCAGATCCCAGAAGAGACAGTGCAAAAGGCTCTGAGGGTTTTTCTTTTTTTCTTTTTTAAATGGGATTTTCCCATTTGAAATCCACTTGTGTTTTTAGTATCACAAGAAGAACTGTTTTGGGGAAATTCTACACAGCTGTATAATGCAGTAATGTCTGAGCACCCTTGTAGCTGGTCAGTGAGGAAGTGTACCCTATCTCCAGGTACAAAGATGGAGGCAGAAGGATGGAGAAGGCTCAAGAGTTTCCCATGGAGCATTTTTGAGGACCATTTCTACTGCAAAGACTTGCCAGTTTCTGTTTGTGCACACTCGCCAGGGACCTTGCCATAGCAGTGTTCTGTAAATAGAGAGAAGTTTTGCACAGCCTGTACCAAGTGTTTGTACTTGGCAACAGTTGTTTATTCAAAGTTTAAAAAGGAAAAAAAAAAAACAAACACAAACCCACTGAAAACAAACATTGAAATTAGAGTTTCTCACAGGTGATTTGAGAGTTCTGCCAGTTCCTAAGATACCTTAGAAAAAAACCCCAAAGCAATGTTTTTCTTTCTATTTCAGAGAGAATTACCCTTTTTAGGGAGCTATTAACAGCTGAAATTTAAAATTTATGAATTCATTAGTTTGAATTGCAAGTTAAGTTCGCTAGACCTATTGTTGCCATTTGTAGTAGCAGTAGAGATGCCATCAGGTACTGAGGGTGACTTAATTTTTGACCAGCTACAAAGGAGCACACACCATCACATAATGGCCTGCAAGGTCCCTTTTAGACCAAATGGGAGGGTTTGGGTATTTTTCAAATGGTCACTGCTTTCTCCTAACTGCTTATTTACTGGTGACTGATTGCTAAAGGAATATCAGATCTGGGTATATAAAAGATGGTACAAGGCTGAAATAATTTTGTTCTCAAAAAGTCCCTTTGGTTGTGGTAATTTCATTACAGTAGCTAGTGTAACCTACTGTAATTTTTTGTAGAAAAAAAATAGCCGTTACAGAAAATAGCTTGGAAATCAGAACTGAAAAAAAAAAAAAGAAATATTTTCAAAATTTATATCACAGTTTCAGTGGTTTTTTTTTCATATTCTGTAATTGATAATTGCTGGAGGTGACAAAACTGAGTCAAAGATGGTCAGTTCACAAAGGTGTGCTGGCATTCATGGCTTAGCACATTTCTAGCTGACCAACTGTGCCTTCCTCCTGTGCAGTTTTCTTACAATTCCATCAGGAAAAGGCCTGGATATACCCACTTCCTCCTTTTATTTCCAGGAGGGTTGACATAAAGTGGTCAGAGACAGAAAATTACAGGAGATAAACGAGTTGAGGGCAGAGGTTTTAAAAGGTGTTTATGGGAGTAACTACTCAGTTCACATGGTTACATTAGCAAAATAATTCATTTGCAAATTCTGTTAGTGTCTTTTGAAGTTCTCAGCCAGGGAGATCAAGTGGTTTGACCTAAGGTGACAGCAGAAGTTCAGTAATTGAATCTGAATCTTCTTTACTGTCATCTAGCAGTTATCCTGGATGAGACAGTATTTATTGTTCTGCAGATTTAAGAGAAATGTAGAAATCGCTGTTTTAAAATGTAATTCCAAAATTACTACTTAAAGTGATTCTTGTCCATGTAGGCTTTTATGTCCAGTACTTCCTCTTGCATTATCTTTACACTGAAACACAGCTGCCATTTTTGCAATTAGAACATTAAACAGGGCATTTCCCCTCAGTGTTGTTTATACTCATTTATTTTGAAGTACCATCCTCCTACTGCAGAGTGTTATTTTGGCAATAAGTTACCAAAAAAACCCCGGTTTTATTTTTTTTCAAACGATTTTTATATGAATGTAATCTGCATTGCAAATCCACATTTCAAAGTAATTTCTGCAAATGTAATACTGTAAAACAAAGCCTTCATTTAAGTGAATACTTCATGTTGGGTTTTAGAGAGTTAAAATTTTTATCATATCAATATATTTCCATTACAAACTACTGCATTTTGAAAACAACTTCCAAGGAACAAGAGGTGATGAAATCACACAATAAATAGCTATTCTGTATTCAGTATCCATTAGTTGAGTACATAATTTCAAATGTTCATTAGTCTCATGAAGCAGAGACCTTACCTCAGTAGGTTTTATAATTGAAGCTGTCTGTTGTGAGTGAAGGAAAGGGAGATTGCAGAACATTGTATTAGATGGAGAATCTTGGAACGTATCTTAAAGAACTAGAGGTCTATTGAGGAGTTTTGTGGTCCCCTTTTGAATATGGGGGAAGACCTGTGTGTAATTCACTGTGGTCTTAAATATAGTATCCTAAAAAAGTGATCCACAAAGCAAAGAAATATC